CACCCTGCGCGTGCTACAAGAGGACAGAGACACTCACCCTGCGCCTGCTACAAGAGGACAGAGACGCTCACCCTGCGCGTGCTACAAGAGGACAGCGACACTCGACCCTGCGCCTTCTACAAGAGACCAGAGACACTCACAATGCGCGTGCTACAAGAGGACAGAGACGCTCACCCTTCGCGTGCTACAAGAGGACAGAGACGCTCACCCTTTGCGTGTTACAAGAGGACAGAGACACTCACCCTGCGCCTGCTACAATAGGACAGAGACACTCACCCTTTGCGTGCTACAAGAGGACAGAGACACTCACCCTGTGCGTGCTACAAGAGGACAGAGACACTCACCCTGCGCGTGCTCCGACTGGAGATTTGGCGTACGACGCAATTTGGAGAAGATGGAGGTCTTGGAGATTTGCTTGGTGATGACTTCATTTTTGACGTCAGAGAGCTCAGAGATGCGTCAGAGAGCTCAGAGATGCGTCAGAAAGCTCAGAGATACGTCAGAGAGCTCACAGATGCGTCAGAAAGCTCAGGGACGCGTCAGAGAGCTCAGAGATGCGCCAGAAAGCTCAGAGATGCGTCAGAGAGCTCAGAGATACGTCAGAGAGCTCAGAGATACGTCAGAGAGCTCAGAGATGCGTCAGAAAGCTCAGAGATGCGTCAGAGAGCTCAGAGATGCAAACTCAGTGTCCAAATAATGTATGCTTGGCCGTTCTTGAAACGCCAATAATTTATTCATGGAATCTTGCGCTAAAAATCTCTAAATTATCAGATGCTAATGCAAATTTTCTCTAAATTCAGAGTTTATGTAAATGGATAAATAATAATTTGGTTGCATTTTTCATCATTGATATTCAATTTATTGTTTTGAATGATATCAGATTGCAGTAGAATCTATTTCACTTCGTTATATGTTTAATCACTAACACTGCACTGCATATATTCTCTCAAGAACATGTACAAAGAAAAGAGTTCACTACCAAATACACATACAAAAAAGTCCATAAATTTCCTTCAGTTCATTGCTAAATTTTTTTAATCAAACACTACACAGGTCTGAGGGATAGGTGGATATTAGTGTAAGCTTGACCTCCATAATCCAAATTTGAAAAAAAAGGATTAAACAATTATCTAAATTTAAATAATTATTAGTCATTTACTAGTAAAGCAGGTACTGAAAAGATCGAAGAAAATACCATGTTTTGAAATTCATGTTCCTAATGTTCATAGGTATTCAAAATTAGAATGCTACACTCAGTTTATACTTTTAAAATTGAGAAAAATTTTAGAAAATAATTTAATGTAATAAAATAAAAATAAATTAAAAATAAATAACAAAATTTTAATTTAGAAAATTGAGAAAAATTTCGCGCGCAGGTCAAAAGTCTTCATCAAGACCAGAACGTGAGATCTCATTCATCAAGACGAGAAGGTGAGATCTCATTCATCAAGACGAGAAAGTGAGGTCTCATTCATCAAGACGTGAATGTGAGATCTCATTCATCAAGCATATACACTGCAAAGAAACAGTACAGATATACTGACTGCACTGCCCAGTGTACGAACAACACTGAGACACTGACTGCACTGCTCAGTGTACGAACAACACTGAGACACTGACTGCACTGCTCAGCGTACGAACAACACTGAGACACTGACTACACTGCACAGCGTACGAACAACACTGAGACACTGACTGCACAGCGTACGAACAACACTGAGACACTGACTGCACTGCACAGTGTACGAACAACACTGAGACACTGACTACACTGCTCAGCGTACGAACAACACTGAGACACTGACTACACTGCACAGCCTGAAGTCTGGAGCCACACACCTGAGTCATGAGAGCACACAAAGTACACATGTACAGATGTACATGTGTACTTTTTGATGTACATGTGTACTTTGTGATGTACATGTGTACTTTTTATGTACATGTGTATTTTTTGGCGCACATGTGTATGCTTTGATATACATGTATACTTTGTGATGTACATGTGTACTTAATGATGTACATGTGTACTTTATGATGTACATGTGTACTTTGGGATGTACACGTGTACTTTGTTTTGTGATGTACATGTATACTTTGTGATGTACATGTATACTTTGTGATGTACATGTATACTTTGTGATGTACATGCGTACTTTGTGATGTACATGTGTACTTTATGATGTACATGTGTACTTTGTGATGTACATGCGTACTTTGTGATGTACATGCGTACTTTGTGATGTACATGCGTACTTTGTGATGTACAGTGTACTTTGTGATGTACATGTGTACTTTATTATGTATGTACATGGACCACACATATACCATGAGTACACACGACTGTACGAGGTGTATGGACATGACATTAAGACGTGTGTTGTGTAAAATGTACATTCAGGGACGATGTGTAAATAATATTCGTGTGTACGGCTTATGTACACATCGCACGCACACGCCTTGTGTACAGCAACAAGGCAAATATTACAGGTGTATACAGAATACACTTGTGTACACCACAGTGTACCCTGAATATTTTTTGGACACATGTGTATATTTTTTAGACACAGTGTATCCCTGTATATGCATTCAGTATATTGTTCACGTTCCACTTGAATATCGTGAATATCTTATTTAGGCACACAGAGCTAATACAGCACACATTTCATGTGTACACAGCGCAGAGACTGCACACACTTCAAAAACATGCAATATTTTAGGTGGTGTTTCCTTGGAGTTTGTCAGCCCACTCTCTTATTAAAAAAAATTGATAAAAGAATTTTTCAAGCCCCATGTTGAAGCTTTGGCTATTTTTTCACTTTATTAATGTTATTCTGTAAATTAATTCACTTTGCTCATGTTAAAGTTGTGACTTGATGCCTTCAAAATCGGTGACTTTGTCCCTAGCAGTTTCCCCTGTTGAACTGGGATCTTTATACGTGTCCATTATTATGCGGTTTAGTTCAGTTATCAGAATTATCAGTTCGTTTAATCACCATATGTTAGACCGAAGGAATAGTCCATGTCTCAAGATACCCATTTCTAAGAATTCGAATATATAAAGCTGACATTGTTATATTAAGGACTTTGTGAGTCCTTCATATCTTCAGCTCGATACCCTACAAGGCTACATTTCAGTCAACTTGCTTCGTTTCAAGTGATTTTTTGTCCATAGAATGTTTCAATAACAACACAAGCCCATCTTATAGTAAACATTTTTCCACTAATACTAACCTGAAATATAAATTAACTGTTCGTTGTATGGAATCGTCTTCACCTGTCGTTGTATGGAATCGTTTTCACATTCATGCCATTTTCACTTTTATCGAGGTTGCCGTTCACTTGACAGTTTTCTATGGATCCTAAAAAGTCTACGGTACATAAACTCAGGATTTAGTTAACAGTTATATGCAATTGGCTACAAAAACTCGCTTTTTTTCACCAAGGTATTCAGAAATAAACTATCATTCCTAAAAATATGAAACATTCATTTATCAAGCTTCACAATTCCGAAATTATGATGAAGTGCACGTAAGTGCGTTTTAGATGCACTCTAAGCATCTGACTTGAATTATTTACTGAACACCTCACAAGACATTTTACTTCATCATATTGATGTAGGCTCACTCTAAGATATGTAGAACAAAATCATATTGAAACAGTATTTCAATTGAATCTTATTCTCAATAACATTTACTAATGATATAGTCATACTTAAAATCCTTCACTATTACAAGACACATTTCTCCGTCGCACCAAACAATAACTAGCGCAGCGTTCCTAGAGTGCGGCCGTGAACAGTGAAGTTGTCTCTAGACCTAAAATTTCAAAAAATAAAATTTCTATAATAAAAACCTAAGAATATATTGTAAACCGCTTAATACGGCTATGTAGCGGGACTGAGAATGTTATTAGTTAACGACCTTTACTGAGTGGCATGATGTTGTTTACTGCCAGCATCACGAGGAATGACATTTACCAACAACTTGCATTGCGTGGCATGATGTTATTTACTACCAGCATCACGAGGAATGACATTTACCAACAACCTGTATTGCGTGGCATGATGTTGTTTACTGCCAGCATCGCGAGGAATGACGTTTACAAATGATGTTGTTTACTACCAGCATCACGAGGAATGACATTTACCAACAACTTGCATTGCGTGGCATGATGTTGTTTACTGCCAGCATCACGAGGAATGCACGCCGATGCAAGCTCAACGCACTCCACGCCTGCATGCCACAGATAGCCCACATCTTATCAGCCATATTGTGGCCGCGATAAGAGATAAGACTCAGCCTCTGATGTCTGAATAGCCACCGTCTTCAGTGTCAGCCTACAACGGTGTGTGTACCTAGTCTGCTAGTGACATGAGCTAGGTAAATTTAACTTGTTGAGGGTGAAATAAAAGCTTATGTGTATTCTTATTTGCAAGTTTTGTTATAACTTGAGTTCATAAATAGAAGCAATCAGCCAGTTATCAGTTACACTTAGCGTACTATTGGTTTGTTATTAATAGCAGTTAGCCTCGAATTATGTAAATTTAGGTAGTTAGTGGCTATTAGCTCGTTATTAGTTTCAGTTAGTAAGTTACAGTTATAATCATTTATCTCTTCACTAATTTAAAAAATCGCGTCCAAAACTTCATAAGGAATTTAATGTACTCGTTAACCAAGGAATCCGGAGGCATTTCAAAAATGGGCGAAGAATTTCGATCGAGGGCTGTACAAACTATTTGATTTTGCGGGAAATTTGTTCAAATTAAAAGTTTATATTTTCTTCTTATATCGAAGCGAGAGTTCATTTCCAAAAAGGTTTTTAACAGGTAGTCATTCAATTATTAAAATTTCAATTTACTTCCAATTACTGCTAATAATGAATTCGAGATAATAGGATAAGATAAGGTTAATTATTTTTTGTACACGCACAGATAATTGCATGCTGTGAAAATAATTTTTTAATATCGCACAGATGCATTGATGTGTTAATAACAATACTTAAGAGACAAGAATGAATGATACTTCATAAATTCATTAAAAATTTCTGATAACAAATTAAATGTGTGAATACAATCCTTGATACCTCTGATAAAATGAAAAAACATTCAGTGAAGCTACTGAAATGAAGAAATTAACCCCGAGTATAAATGAGTGTGTGAATAGGCTAATGATCAATCAGCATTTCCAGTTCGCGGATCTAACGCTGCTGTTTTTCAACATCATTTCACGATATACAGAACTATAAACAATGTACACGATAAAATAATATAAACCTGATAGAGATACAGTCTTAATAGATAAACAACAATAATAAACTATGGGCAACAGTTGTTGCTGTGAGTGGGGCGTGGGCCCTAGCAGCCGTTCACCCACGAGGGCACAAAGTTCCCTCTCTCGACACCAACCAAACGATCGTCACCTTTTGGGGGGAAAGGGAACAGGTCAAAGAATTTACAATAAATATCAAGTGCCTTCAAGAAAACCTATCCCGAAATCCGTAAAGAAAACCGGTAGGGACAACCTAGGTTTCCAGAGCGATGCCCAAGTTGGCAGATACCCGAGACATGGGGCCAAGGTACATACCCATACCCAACTGGGTAGGTTGGACTATGCCCGCTCGAATAAGGCTAATATTAATAATAAAAAATCACCGGTTGGTAGTCCCCTAGTACCCAATAGTAATGGGTTCAATAAAGTTATTAAACCCGGTGAGGTTAAAGTACAAGTCATTGGAATCAATACCAAAGATTCGACTGACGTCAGACACGACCACAACAAAAGGAAGTACTCTGCTGCCACCACCGTCAGTCTGTCAGCCCTGAGTCCTGACTACGGCTCAACGGTAAGTACGCTGACTCTTTGTGAATTTGTGTATTTAATTATGATATTTTATATTTTACTGTGAATTTGTAAATTTCATTTGAAGATATACATTTAAATCATTTGAAATCATTTATACATTTAAATCATTTATATATATCTTCAAATTTCATTTGAAGATATATATAAATTTAATTAGGAAATTTTATATTTTACTCTTTGTGAATTTGTGTATTTAATTAGGAAATTTGATATTTTACTTACTTCGAAATATTTTCTACAAAAAACTTTGTAGAAACTGTTACTTTGAAAATATTTCATACAATGAAATTATTTACTTTGGAAAAAGTTTTAAATGTAGACAAATTTTCTTAATAGATTTGATAAATAGAAGACTCCGAAACGGTGTCCACTCTTCGGTAAATAGTCATTATAGGTTTCAAAAGTTCATTTAATCATAATTAATTATTAATTATTTATTTAACTATTCCTAAGTAAACTTATCAATATCCGCTATGAAAACAAAGTTTTTCAAAACAAAATGAAAAATTCTGTGATATCGATAAAATTAGGACGATAACATGACAATCGCACTCACGATAAGGAGGCTTGCGCGCAGAACTGCAGGTTTCTTCATATCAAGAGATGAAAATTCATTTTATTCATAATAATTTGGGCCTCGTTAACATGACTAAAATAATCTCCCAGACCGAGATTAAGTTCAATCTGAACTTTGAATCCGAATGAAGCAAATGTTGGACCATAAAATAAGGGAGCTGATCAAAAATTTGAATGTCTCTTTCCGAATTTGAATGTCTCTTTTTTTATATTGCAGTTAATTTAATTTACCTCCAATTATCAACTGACGTTCATTTCAATTATGTGCTTACAATTTTCCAGTGATGAATATCTACGGCCAATTATCCACATTTAATTATATTCACGGAATCAGCTAATTGCAATCAGTAACTGCCGGTTGGCTACTTACAGTTAAGTACTGAAAACATAAAAAGGTAAATAGCTACTAAAAAATTTGTATAGGTAATCATTGACTGATTACTATTTATTAATAACTATTCAGTATGATTATTCAATGATAGTTATTTCATGAATAAGATTAATGAATAAAATTTATTGATATATATATATATATATTTTTATAAGAATTTCGAACAATTACCGGACAAAATTGGTAACATTACCGGACAGGGGGTACAAAACCGGACAAAATCGAGTCTGGTAATTAATTCTGCAATTAGTTTGTACTTGAAATCCGGACACGAAAATAAATGAACTACATTACCGGACATCAAAAAAAGCCAACCTCGTTAGGTTAGGGTTAGAGTTAGGGTTAGGTTATATTACCTGCTAATAATTGCTGAGAAATGTAAAAATATATACGGACTCGTATGCCCAGACGATTACGTAGTGAAGCAACACTCTTCGGTCGCTGAAAAGTAATTAGGCGAATAATATTTGTATAGAAAAACCTTTATCCCAGACGTGAACCGAAAACTGGAGAGAGGTGCCAGACAGACAGGCTTCTACCTCTAGACGGTTGTGCAATATACATATACTCTTCATGTGTTAGTATATCATGAGTAGATTACTCCTGAGGTAGTATATCGTTATCTACCGCCCTTACAATATCTACAGTCAGACATTTTGCTCGGGAAGTCCAGTTTTCCTTGCACTCATGTTCATATAACTGAATCACATTCATATGCCTGAACCACATTCATCCTACATTCACTTCAGCCTCATATTTATCAGAAAATTAAACCGAATTCGTATGAGAATTGTTTAATGACACGGACTCCCTGACTCATTCCGTTGCTTGCCCAACTTTAATAACATGATCATCCGTAATATTTTAATTAATTATGAATATGAATTCCATAAAAGACACTTCCACAACGTCCATAACATGCCTTCTTTATGTTTAATGTGTTATTTGATTTGCTTCCGTAACATGACTCATTTCGTAGAAACAAGTTATTAAATATGTCAAATATCATTTCATGTTAAATAAATTGATGAGAATAATTATGAAATGGACGTTAGGCACTAAATTTATTCTTTAGGGATATGACTCTCCAAACTACCATAAACACTCACTGTGGAAAGCTTTCACTACCTTAGCAATCTTGATTATCTTGGTACACAAGTATTTCCACAAGTATTCACTGTGGAAAGCTTTCACTACCATAAGCACTCACTGTGGAAAGCTTTCACTACCATAAGCATTCACTGTGGAAAGTTTTCACTACCATAAGCACTCACTGTGGAAAGCTTTCACTACCATAAGCACTCACTGTGGAAAGCTTTCACTACCATAAGCATTCACTGTGGAAAGCTTTCACTACCATAAGCACTCACTGTGGAAAGCTTTCACTATCATAAGTATTCACTGTGGAAAGCTTTCGCTACCATAAACTTTCACTGTGGAAAGTTTTCACTACCAGAAGCATTTACTGTGGAAAGCTTTCACTACCATAAGCATTCACTGTGGAAAGCTTTCACTACCATAAGCATTCACTGAGGAAAGCTTTCACTACCATAAGCATTCACTGTGGAAAGCTTTCACTATACCATAAACTTTCACTATGGAAAGCTTTCACTACCACAAGCACTCACTGTGGAAAGCTTTCACTACCATAAACATTCATGCATTCACTATAGTAGGTAACTTTGAACATCTTTCTTACCTCTATAATTACATCCACCCTACCTATAGATTTACATCTATCATATCTATAGAATTACATCTATTATTCATCTAGAATCTATATGAACATCCTCCACTGCGATGCTCTAAAAACCAGGCAGGGAACACAGCTACCTCGTTGCAATCAACATATGTTTTGTTAGACATATAAAACTAAATATTAGAAATGAAATATATCAGAAATAGTGGAAAGATTATATTAAATATTATTAATATGGGACACGAGATGAATGCTGTTCTTCACATGAATGAATATCTTCGTCTATGAATATTCTCATGAATATTTTTTATTTTTTTTTATTTCGTGATTGAGGTTAGAGTAGGAAAAAGCGGGACAGGCGGTACAGTCGACCCCTCCACCAGCTGTGGGGATGTCCAGCTGTTGTTAGCTGATAAGCTATCTCACCTGAACCCTGGAGTGGTGATAATCACCTAACGACCGGCAAACTCATAAAAATGAAAGGGTTTATTGTCTAAATAGTAGCACACTTTCTCACCCATAGTGCGGAGAGCTAGAGAGTTGACGTAGCACTGAAATGCTCTTAAGTCTGGCTAAACTGAGTCAGGGTGACCTACGCAGAAACGGCAAAATGAGCGTAGATATTGTCTATTAAGATCAGTTATTAACAATAGATCAATAATTAGCAACGTATAAATTACAATAATAACAGATCAATTACCAGCAGCTGATCAATGAATGAAAACATTTCATTCATTAACAAATTAATCATTAATTAACATATTATTCATTAATTAACAGATTAATCATTAATTAACACATTATTCATTAATTGACATATTATTCATTAATTAACAAATTATTTATTAAGTAGCAAATGAATCATTAATTAACATAAAAATAATTTATAAACGAATTAATAATTAATTATCATATTAATCATTAATTAACTAATTAATCATTAATCAACATTAGAATCATTAATTAACAAATTAATAATTAATTATTAAGTTAATCATTAATTACCATTTAATCATCAATTAACAACTTAATCAATAATTACTAAATTATTCTTTAATTAATGATTAATCAATAATTAAGAACATTAATTAAAAACTGCTAAATTTATAACAACCATTACACGTCACGACGCAGGCTGTGCTGGTGAAGGTTGAGGTGCGTGGAGGCAGCTGGACGCTGCGCAAGACCGGCCGTGATTTTGTCGAGTTGATAGACCACCTTAAAGTTAAGGTGAGGGGACGGGGGGTTAGACCCCTTAAAGTTAAGGTCAGGGCGCGGGGGTTAGACCACCTTAAAGTTAAGGTGAGGGGGCGGGGGGTTAGACCCCTTAAAATTAAGGTGAGGGGGCGGGGGGTAGACCCCTTAAAGTTAAGGTGAGGGGGCGGGGGCTTAGACCCCTTAAAATTAAGGCGCGGTGCCGGGGTTAGACCCCTTAAAGTTAAGGTGAGGAGGCGGGGGGTTAGACCCCTTAAATTTAAGGTGAGGGGGCAGGGGTTAGGTGGTAGACCCCTTAAAATTAAGGTGAGATTCTTGTTGGATTATTAAATAAAGTTATTAATTACCGCGATTTAGAAAAATATATCCATGAAAAAACTGACATTATAATCTCATTTAGGTCACAAATAAACATCGTTACCTAGAAATTCAAAATTTAAATGGGATTTTATAAAGTATACGCATAATGATTGAGACATAAGCTTTAATAAATCAAAATGTTGAATTAAAATGCATATATGGAAATATGCAGAATGAGAACGATGGCAGTGCTGCTGGCGCCAGCTTACAGCTGTTGCTGGAGACTCAAGATGAGTCCATTCAACACTTGAGTAACGTGCTGCATTTCGTGCTGACTCAGCAACACCTGCTTCATGAGTAAGTCACTCAGTGTGTCGAAATGAATCAATTCTTGACTCAGATCTCGCAAAATGTGTTTGCCATTTTATCATTTATTCCAGTGACCAAGATGTGTTTTTTTCGCTTTATCATACCAAATTTATATAAGTTATTTCAACAAATTGTAATGTGTTATCTAATAAATTGTTTTTATAAGTTTCTCATACAGGCTATCTATCACTTAAATTGAGAAATTCACAGTTATGTATAGAATACTAATATATTTATTACTATATATCTGGAAATATTTATTTCATAACAAAAAGTTCTTGCGTCTGCAGTTCAGTGGTTCTGCAGTTCTTCGATGTTGATCGGCTGACTGTACAGTCGAAAAACAACGTCAGCGTTGCTGACGAAACGTCAGCCGACGCCTGCAGCACGACATGCAGTAGTGAATACAGTGTCAGCTACACGACAAGTGAAGGCAGCACCACTGATGTCAGTGGTGTTGTACACACAAATGATGTCAATCAGTCCCGCAACACCACAAACGTCACTGACATCAGCAACGACAGCAGCACCAACACCTTGTGTGCACAAGTTTCTGGTTCAAGAATGAATATCAACATCAACCTATCGTACGAACCAACCCTCGGGGAACTGGTTCTGGAGAGGGAACCTGCCGAAGGTTCATACGAACCCAACCACGGGAAGATGGTTCTTGAACCTCTCGAGAGAACCCCAAGCCCGAGGGCCTTGAGAACCGATGCAGAAGGAGGGTTAACGGCCAAATGCAAAGATTCTTCGACCAAGAAAATTGAATCTGGCCACAAAAATGGTGAATTGTCAAGGACTCCAACCCGTGGTTCTTTCGTGAAGTTGAACTCTGACAGTTCTGTTGGGGTTGAGGATCTAGTTGGGGTTCACAAACCCCTCACCCGTACCGACCCTTGGGCACCTAATGCAACCATCCCAACCATCACAACCACACCATCTCCTACACCACCAGTCCCTTCAACGTCTATACCAACAGATAAACCACAATTCTTGCTTTCTCCTCAATTCCTATTATTCCCTCCACTTCCTTCTTCCACTCTTCCACTTCCTACGTCCACTCCTCCACTTCCTACGTCTACTCCTCCACCTCCGTACGAAGGAGAAGTTCAGGAAAACCTACGTACCAGTAGTACCAATATGACCTCAGGTACCGAAATAAGGAACTCTGATCGACCTACAAGTAGGAACGCTTCGCCGTTGCTACTTAGCCCTGCAAGTAGTGAATATGTAACAACTACCACTTGTGGTAGTAATGGTAGCACTTACGCTGGTTCAGCTGCAGCATCTGCTGCACATGCTGCAGCTGCAGCAGCTGCACGTGCTGCACGGAGTCGGCGGTAAGTAACCGTTACTTTAATAATCAGAATTTCTATATAAAAGCAACTGTTTATTTATATATAAAAGCAACAGTTATCAGAATTTCTATATAAAAGCAACTGTTTACAGAATGTTTATAAAAAGCAGCTGTTTAAAATTTTTTTTTAGAAAAGCAACTGTTTATAATGTTAATTATTCATATTAACTTTTTTGGGCATTTCAAAAGCTACGCAGCTATAAATGTCATATAGAACGTTTGAATTTTTAATATTTACCTTTTGTATTATTCTTTCGAAAGATTTGAATCGATTTACAGCGTATTTTCCCGAAATTTGTGTAAATTCGGTCAGAAATATGTTTATCTTGTCCAAGCACAACTGAATGCTTATCCAATCATGAATATTAACTAATACTCTCTAGAATATATTAGATCATGTTCTTTGATTACTACTAATCAAAAGCGTTAGTCAATTTCCCAATTGTTTCTCATAGTGATTCTTAATTATGTACACACATTTCAATTCAATTACTTTTTAATTTTCCATATATTTTCATTAAAATTTCATAAAAAATTTTTTGAATTAAAGATGCTAAATAAATATTTTTCTCTCCTGCAGCGGCCGCCATTCCTCCATCAACCTGGACAACCTGGATGGTCCCCAGGAAACGTAAGTTTTATTTCCATAACAGTTTTATTTATTTATTTATTTATTTATTTATTTATTTATAACTACTTATCATACAATATAAAGATTTTTCAATGCCCGACTTCAATGCATTTTCAATGCACGACTTCAATTCATTTTTTGATTACAAAATTATGTACTTTAGTTCGACCAAATTGTATATGTTTATGCTCTGGATGAATAATTAGACGAGTAATTTCTCTGAACTTTTAATACGGTGATTACGAGGCAGATCATTTAATACGGTGACTTATAGAAAGAAAATTCATTACGGCGATTTAGGAGGAAACATTAATACGATAATTAAGAGGCAGATCATATTTTAATACAGTGATTTATAGAAAGAAATTTCATTACGGTGATCTAGAGATAGAAACTTTTATACGGTGATTCAGAAAAGGAAAATTTAATAACCTTCATTTAAAATAGTAATTCTCATCTACAATAATAAGATCTATCGAGATCAATGTTGCCGGTCATTTATCGATGATAAGTTCCTTATAACTGATAAGTTTACGACTATCTCTTCTATCTCTGCCGCCCCGAAGAAATTTTAATTAATCAACTTATGTTAAACGTAACTTTTGAAACACAAGCCAATCATAAAATTAAAGATAAAATTAATTAAATAGAGATCTTGCGTTAAACAGTTGTGATATTTAAAAAAAATCTGAACAACAAATTATTAGCGTAGGATCAATTGCATGTTATTAGCCAACTGAGTAGGGATGATAATAATGATGGTTACCGTGATGATGGTTACGATGGAAGAAACTAATGTAGTGTTGCTACTTCTTAGCGCATTTTCTCATTTTTGGAAAAAATGCACTATTGTGCTCGCCATGTCTGTCTGTCTGTCTGTCTGTCTGTCTGTCTGTCCGTCTGTCCGTCTGCCTGTCTGTCTGTCTGCCCGTCTGTCTGTCTGTCTGTCTGTCTGTCTGTCTGTCTGTCTGTCTGTCTGTCTGTCNTTATATTTTTCTGAAGCAGTTTTATAAAGTTTATAACTTTCTGAGTTATATTTTTCTGAAGCAGTTTTATAAAGTTTATAACTTTCTGAGTTATATTTTTCTGAAGCAGTTTTATAAAGTTTATAACTTTCTGAGTTATATTTTTCTGAAGCAGTTTTATAAAGTTTATAACTTTCTGAGTTATATTTTTCTGAAGGATGTCGCCCTCGGACTTCAAGTTCTTGGGTGTGATCGGTAAGGGCAGCTTCGGGCAGGTCCTGTTGGCCCGGCACATCGCCTCGGGCAAGGCGTACGCAGTCAAGGTGGGTCCCTATATAAGTGCCCGAGGGTACTTGTAGTACCCTAGGGTACTAGTAGGGTACTTGTAGTACCCTAGGTACTACAAGTACCCTACAAGCACCCTAGTTACCCTAGGTAACTAGGGTACTTGTAGTACCCTAGTCTGGGGTACCTTAGGGTGGTGTAGTACCCCAGTCTGGGGTACTTTATGGTGGTGTAGTACCCTAGTCTGGTTACCTTTAGGTACTTGTAGCACCCTAGTTTGGGGTACCTTAGGGTGGTGTAGTACCCCAGTCTGGGATACCTTAGGGTGGTGTAGTACCCTAGTCTGGGGTACTTTATGGTGGTGTAGTACCCTAGTCTGGTTACCTTTAGGTACTTGTAGTACCCTAGTTTGGGGTACCTTAGAGTGGTGTAGTACCCTAGTCTGGGTACCTTAGGGTGGTGTAGTACCCTAGTCTGGGATGCCTTAGAGTGGTGTAGTACCCTAGTCTGGGTACCTTAGGGTGGTGTAGTACCCTAGTCTGGTAGGGTGGTGTAGTACCCTAATCTGGGGTACCTTAGGGTGGTGTAGTACCCTAGTCTGGGGTACCTTTAGGTGGTGTAGTACCCTGGTCTGGGGTACCTTAGGATGGTGTGGTACCCTAGTCTGGGGGTACCTTAGAGTGGTGTAGTACCCTAGTTTGTGGTACCTTAGGGTGGTGTAGTACCCTAGTCTGGTGTACCTTAGAGTGGTGTAGTACCCTAGTCTGGGGTACCTTAGGGTACCCTAAATTTGAAATATCCAAACTACGAACTAATACTATTGAATTAATTGGGTAAAAATAAATTAATTAGTTACCAACTAATTGGTAAATAACTACAGTGAACTAACCGGTAAACCTCCTTCATTACTCATGTACTACGTACTCAGATGCTGAGTAAGCGCGTCATCTCGCGCCGTAAGGAGACTCAACATGTACTCAGCGAGCGCTCAGTTCTCATCAAGGTTCTTCACCACCCATACCTGGTACAGCTTCACTACGCATTCACCACGCGCCATAAAATATTTTTTGTGCTGGACTTCGTTAATGGCGGCGAGGTGATTACAGCGCATTTAAAAAGATTCTAGTTTGTTTGATAGTTATTAGTTTGAGTTATTAATTTGGTTAGTAATATTAAATAAGCCGTTTACGTCTATTAAGATACTAATTATTACACTTCGGTGTTATTTAGACCGATGTATAAGGAGACATTAATTAACGTTATCGCGTGGGCTTTTTATTTGATTTAATTGAAGAACACCTTATCTTTACTGCGGCATTAATAGAAGTAATTGAACACTTATTAATACGTTATAAATTGCTTCAAGTAATTTCGCTGAAAAAGTAACATACTTCAAAATTATATGAATTCCTAAATTTAGGGAAACAACGTTTTTCAAATTTTGGTATTGGTATTTTTTCTTCCAACGCTAATAATGATGGTCATGAGTAAGAATTTAAAAATTTTATGACATTGGTTATTGTTCTCAATATCACGTAGAATTGATGAACGCATATGTGTTCTTGCAGTTGTTCTACCACCTGCAGCGAGAACGCGTGTTCGTAGAACCTCGTGCGATGTTCTACGCCGCAGAAATATGTTGTGCGCTCACCTACATGCACACTAAGGTGAACACATGCCACATTCATGTTGTGATGTAAAAAAGATCATTTGAGATGATAGGAACATAATGTTCAGATAATAAAAACCTAAATATATTCATATCGTTAACGTTGCTTCATTACTTCATAAATAAGTTTCATGATCGATTTTAATAGGAATTATAGGATAAATATTTCGGTTTATACATTAGCTGAAAATGTGAAGATAAACTAGTAGTGGTGCAGCTTAGCTAGAACTTTTCTGCTGACTATGGCAGGTTCATGACATATTGGATAGTTGATGGCTGTATAGTTTAACAGGTATTATTTACGGGACCCAGAACTAAGTTCCTTCGCGCAGTTAGTAGGTAAGGTGTACTTACGAAGTACGGTAGGTTCTGTAATAGTCTTGGATATCGTGTACCTAGTGGCCTAACATCACAGTAAATAATATACAATACTACCCACAGGGCAGTTGTAAAGTAGTTACTTTACTACCTACAGGGCAGTAGTAAAATTGGTACTTAACTACCCACAGGGCAGTAGTAAAGTAGGTACTTTGCTACCCACAAGGCAGTAGTAATGTAGGTACTTAACTACACACAGGGCAGTAATAAAATAGGTACTTAACTACCCACAGGACAGTTGTAAAGTAGATACTTAATTAAGTACGCACAGGCAGTAGTAAAGTAGATAATTTGCTACCCACAGGGCGGTAGTAAAGTAGATACTTTACTACCCACAGGGCAGTAGTAAAGTAGATACTCAACTACCCACAGGGTATCGTGTACCGGGACCTGAAGCCCGAGAACTTGCTACTTGACCGAGAAGGCCACGTTGTTCTCACCGACTTCGGGCTGTGCAAAGAAGGCCTTCAGAACAGCTCGTGTAGAACTGGTACATTTTGTGGTACTCCGGAGTACTTGGCACCTGAAATACTACTCAAGAAGCCCTACACTCGGGTAGTGGACTGGTGGACGTTGGGTGCAGTACTCTACGAAATGCTCTACGGTCTACCACCTTTCTACTCCACCAACCAGATGGTCATGTATGAAGCCATCGTGTCGAAGCCGCTGAAGCTGAAGAACAGCGCCTCTGCCAGAGCAAGGAACTTACTTACAGGGGTGACTACTTGATTTTTTCTGGGGACAATATTAATATTGATATAAATAACTTCCATTATTAAATAAAAATTGACTGTACCTTCACAATTTTAGTAATTTTACTCTGAGATTTTCAATATTTCTTACTGGATGTTTTTGCATTGTTTTACAATTGAAAATACAACTTTTTCATGGAGCCTTTAACTTTTTCAGCTGTCATGGAATTTTTCCAGTTTGGTTGTGTTCATGTAGCCGATCATTCAGTGCCAGAATATTTTCAATAAGAAAAATTTATCGTAAAAAGTTTTCTCATTTGAAACAACCATATTAAAGATTACTGGGCTTCTATTACTGCTTACTGGGTTCCTATATAATTTTTTAAATCTTATTAAAAAAAGAAACATGAGCTCTAAGTCATCTGAATGTGTATGTTTTATGTTGCCTTAAATTATGAGAATTCAATTTATCATAGGTTTACTTTTTAACTAATTACATAATTGTTAGCGGGTATCAATGACTTAATCACTTATCGAAATTAATTATTGATGATTAATTCGAATTGTTTAATTATGGCTTGCATAATCATAAGTACCGTTTTGAAGGAATGAACAAAAAAACATCTGAAATTAAAAAAATATATAACTCAGTACTCACTGCAGTGAGTGACAGAGCGCAATTTATCGTCGACGAAAACTTGAGGTCACGGACGGCCGGACAGACGGACAGACAGACAAACGGACATGGCGAGCACAATAGTGCATTTTTTCCATCAATGAAAAATGCGCTAAAAATAGATGCATTTTTGCACGTTTATGGGTCATCCTGACCTAGTTTGACCAGACGAAAAGGAATATCTTTGCTACGTGGAAAAAGAGTGTGACTATTTGGATAATTTTACTCATTTATTTTACTGACTAGTGAAGTACCTGCTTTCAGCTGCAGTAGAAGGCTCAGGAGGCTACATTGAATTACATTCATAAATTAATTATTAACTCCAATTATTTAACAACTGATTGCTTAATGATCATTAGTAAAGTATTGAAGTACCTGTTATTAGCTGCTGAAGAAGGCCTTGGAGGCTAAATTGAATCAGACATCTAAATTACTGATTAACTTTAATTATTTAACAACTTACTGCTTAATGACCATTAGTACAATATTGAAGTACCTGCTTTTAGTACCTGCTTACTGCTTCATGACCATTAGTACAATATTGAAGTACCTGCTTTTAGTACCTGCTCACTGCTTCATGACCATTAGTACAATATTGAAGTACCGTACTTGCTCTCAGCTGCTGAAGAAGACCTTGGAGGCTACATTGAATCAGATATATAAATTAATTACTAATTTTAATTATTTAATTATTATTTAATGACCATTAGTACAATATTGAAGTACCTGCCTTCAGCTGCTGAAGAAGACCTTGGCGGCTACATTGAATCAGATATATAAATTAAGTATTGATTTTAATTACTTAACAACTGATTGATTTATGATCATCAGTACAATATTGAAGTACCTGCTATTAGTACCTGCTTTTAGTACCTGCTCACTGCTTCATGACCATTAGTACAATATTGTATTACCTGCCTTCAGCTGCTGAAGAAGGCCCCGGAGGAGCGGCTGGGCGGAGGCCCCGAGGACGGCGAGGCCATCAAAGGCCACGAGTTCTTCCGCGCTGTGGACTGGGCCCTCGTAGAGCAGCGCAAGATGAGGCCACCCTTCGTGCCCAGAGTCGTGAGTCGTGGAGTCGTGAGTCGTGAGTCCTGGAGTCGTGAGTCGTGAGTCGTGGAGTCGTGAGTCGTGGAGTCGTGGAGTCGTGAGTTGTGGAGTCGTGAGTTGTGGAGTCGTGAGTTGTGGAGTCGTGGAGTCGTGAGTTGTGGAGTCGTGAGTTGTGGAGTCGTGAGTCGTGAGTTGTGGAGTCGTGAGTCGTGGAGTCGTGAGTCGTGAGTCGTGAGTCGTTAGATGTGGAGTCGTGAGTTATTAGTTGTGGAGTCGTGGAGTCGTGAGTGATGAGTCGTGAGTTGTGGAGTCGTGAGTCGTGAGTCGTGAGTTGTGGAGTCGCGAGTGTGAGTCGTGGAGTCGTGAGTCGTAGAGTCGGAGTTGTGGAGTCGTGAGTCGGGAGTTGTGGAGTCGTGAGTCGGGAGTTGTGGAGTTGTGAGTCGTAGAATCGTAACTTTTAGAGTCTGAGTCGTGAGTCAGAGTGTTACGATATGTGCTCGATCTTTCTAAGAAGTTACATATGTACATTATACATGTACTCGTATAATGACATGCACCGTGACATGTACCGTGACATGCACCGTGACATGTACGGTGACATGCACCGTGACATGCACCGTGACATGTACCGTGACATGCACCGTGACATACACCGTGACATGCACCGTGACATGCACCGTGACATGCACCGTGACATGCACCGTGACATGCACCGTGACATGCACCGTGACATGCACCGTGACATGCACCGTGACAATTATCCCGTATTTTTACAGACCAGCGACACGGACACCCGTAACATCGACCCGAGCTTCACACGGGAGCCGGTCCAGCTCGGTAGCATCGGTTCCCCTGCGCCGGAACTTCGCGCGTCAGCAAAATTGGCTGACGTTAACATAAATAATAATTTTAATAACAAAAACAATCCTTTTAAGGGCTTCAGTTACGCTAGACCGGACCTCGAGAGTGAAGTTATTGATCGATGATATTAATTTTATGAAGGAATGTAAATTAATGTTGTAAGGGACCCGCCAAAGGTTCTCAGTTTGCTTATAGCTCATTCTAGTTAAGGGAAAATTAACTCATTTATCCTGATAGAAGAAAAATAACCAGAACCAAAAAAAAAATAGTAAGCAATAACCAGAACTATGCCACAAATAAGTACGGATCAATATATACAAAACATTGCAATGCACTGTGCACTGAGTAATCAAGGATAAATATTACAAAAATATCAAGGATAAATATTACAAAAGAAAACTTCACAGAAATTTACGTACCTTGCTGATTTAACAGGTAAATTTCTTTGTATTAAAACAATACCTACAAGATAGAGAAATAAATTACAAAAGAATGCTTAGCAATTAAGACGCTTAACTCTTCAGAAACTCTTAGTGGAAAATTAACGCGAATTAATTTCCTATGGAAATTACATTATAACTTCTTCACTACGGATATGTTACACACAATTAAAAAACATAAATTACGTGTTTATTTTGAAATCCTTACAGCCGAGAGTAAAAATTTCAGAGCAGTTAGATGAAGAAATGGCACATGTATGTTTACTACTACTATGTAAATTTCTTTGTGTACAAGGGTAAATTAAATTAAAGGGTTGAATACCTTCACAATAAGCTGTTAAAAATATTAATGGGTACAGTATTGTAATTATTCATAAAATAATTTTTTTATTCGTATAAAAATTTGTATTTCATAAAATAATTGTTTTATTCGTATTAAAATTTTTATTAGTCTGATTTAACGGAATAAGAAAAATAGTCAGAAGGTCATGTATAAGATCATAAATTCCTAAAGCTTAATTGATACGATCTATTGATGTAAAACTCATACATAGACCGAGGAGTATTCGCTATATCTGTGAAGAATTTATACCATGCATTATTAACTGATAACAAATGTGTATAAATTTTACGATTCTAGACAGTTATTAAAAGGACGCACTTCCGTGAAAATACGTAGTAACGTAATTAATGTAAATACTATAATAATTATTTATACGCAAATGATAGAGAATCGTTATCAAATACAATAACATTCTTAAATTTTTGATTAATTTTAATATATATAAAACTTTTTTTCATTAAGAGTAAAAATTGAAATTGTAATAAATCTCTACTCAGTAATAAGACTTTCATTTAATCCTTGAATATGGAAATTCATCTGAAATACCGAAACAATATTCGTGAACGAATAAAAAAAAGGCAAGCTTCATGCATTAGATCTGCTAAAAATTTAATGCTGTGAATAGATTATTTTAAATTTAATTATTTTTTCGGTATTAATAATGATTTATGATTACAAGAAAAAAATTTTGTAATTGTAAAATGACACTCAGGCAACATGTATCAAGAATCCTATTACTTGTTAAAGATAGAAAATTATACATAATTCTAATAGAGGCTTAAAATAGTCGCGTACTTCATTACCTCATTAATAATATAATAATTCTTAACATAATCGCGAAAATTTGCGTGCTTTGAGATGACAATAATACCATACAACGTCGTTAGTTTACTGACAAGAGCTATTTAATTTGATGTATATGAGGTACCAAGAAGAGAAAGATGTCCCTTCTTGTCACCTAAAAGTGCAGGGGTCATACTTTCAAAACTCGCTAAGTGAACGTAAGTACTTACGCTCTATTTTCTTGTCTATGATTAAGTGAACGTAAGTACTTACGCTCTATTTTCTTTTCTATGATTGGTGGATTTGGCTTGAAAGGCCGTCAATGATTGGCTGATGAACTTACGATCTCTTAACTTTTTTGGCCAGAACTGTAATTTATAAACAAGAGTTTATATATGTCGCTACCGAATTATTAGGTCCCATCTTATAACCTAAATCTGCCGTAATATTAAGTCAACCACTTGGTTAAATTTGAGGTGCCAAGAAGTAATTTACCACGTGTTATTCACCTGCGCAATTCACCCGTGGAGTTTACAGCTCAGTTCGCCACTTGATCTTATCAAGCGCGTGTTGTATAACGTTGATAAATGCCATGATAAACACACAATAACACGCTTTATCGCGTCATATGTATAACCTAAAAATAGTTTCACATGCCTTAAAAAATCCCTTATTAACGATTGCATAACCCATTTCCTGATCTATTAAAATGCCCAAAAGAAACTTTATTTTATAAATTCGTTTAGGGTGCAGATGCGATAAAAAATTTCCGAGTATTTTTTGAGAACCATTATTATGACCAATATTCATATGTGTGAATAAGATATCGTATGAATATCACTCTAAATAATAAACATCATAAATGGGGAAATCCTTAGTACCCTATGAATACCGTTCAAGTTGACAGATCACCATCATCAAATTGACAATCACCATCATCAAATTGACAATCACCATCATCAAATTGACAATCACCATCATCAAGTTGGTAAATTCAAGTTTTCCCATTGTAATTGATTAATAACAAATGAATAATAATAAAATTTTAATACATTCGTATTAAATATTGAATTACATAAATCCAATTTCACTATTAGTGAAATAATGCTATTTTTGATGGCCGTCTTGATAATAATTTCAGGCTCTATTTTGGTGATTTTTTCATGAGATGAATTCAAATTTTCATGAATAATAATTGATCAAAATTAAAATTACTATCACAAATACTAATCCTGCTTCGATAATGCTAGGTCAACAGCTCTTGAAAAAATTTCATTGTTTTAGTTAAAAAGCTCAATTTGAATCGATCTTCTGTACACATTGCTTTATTAGAAAGTGTAAAGTGAAATTCGCATTTGTAATAATAAATTCTATATTTATATATAACAACAGCAGCAGATCTAGGTTTGAGCGCTGCAAGCATCGTCCAAATTATGATATGATCGAGTTGACCTCACGGGTGCGAGATACGATCTAGATCGAAGGGACCTCGATCGATGGTTGACCTCCTGGCTCGTGGATTGACCTTGATTAGATCAGTGTCACCTGAACCACCTAGAGAAGAACAGACAGGAATCTTAGAGCCCTGAGTCTGCTAATCATGAGTCCATGAATATTGAAAATATGAATTTTCTTTCTACGAATTACGAGTCCTTGAAACAGACGCGAATCTTAGAGCTCTGAGTCTGCTAATCATGAGTCAATGAATCCTGAATATATGAATTTTCATTCTACGAATCACGAGTCCATGAATACCGAGTCTACGAACCTAGAGTCTACAATTCATGAGTAATTTAAATATTAGAAAACTGAATCTAGAAATACCGAGTTGTTGAAAAGTCAGTCACTGAATCCCTAGTCAATGAGTCCTCAGTGAGCTATCCTGAGTCAACGAATTTCAAGTCTATTAATTAAAATCCTATGAATTTTGATCCTAACAGTCTTAAGTAAGTGAATCTTGAGTCAACCAATAACTTGACTCACCTCTTGAACCAACGAGTCTGAAAATTGAATCGTCGGCCGAAAAGTGAATGAAAATTGAATCGTCATTGTTTTAGTTAAAAATATCAATTTGAATCGATCTTCTGTACACATTGCTTTATTAGAAAGTGTAAAGTGAAATTCGCATTTGTAATAATAAATTCTACATTTATATATAACAACTCTAACACTGATTTTGGGGTTATTGAAGTTTCGAGTAATTCACATTAAAAACAAATTAAAATTACGTGAAAAATGAGAAACATTTCCTAGCAGGGAAGTATGATAACTATAATAAATATTTGGTTCAACATGCAAGTCATCATGTTGAGAGCAGGAACTGTTATGATGGCTTTAATGTTGACTACACAGTTGTTGAAAAGTTCCGTTGACGCCGATGAAGCAAACTACGTTGATGTCACTGTTGATAACAGCAGCCATGAAGATAACAGACATGCTGCCAACAGTGAAGAATTCCCGGCCATGGTTAATACCGAGGAAAATATTATTATAAATAAAATGAAATTTAGTCCTGGGAATAATGAAGGTGAAATACTCCGCAATTCTGGGACGAAAGTTTTGTCAAATAAAAATGAAGAGAAAGAATATTTTGTCGATGCAAAAAAATCTGCAATTTTGTCTCAAAACCAAACAAATTCGTCTACATTTCTGCGTTCTCGAGTCTCATATTTCAATAACGATGAACCAAATCTAATTCGAACCGACAATCGGAACCAACAACAAGACGAGAACCAAAGTTTGTTGCCGGTCGTGACGAAGAATTTCCCGCTACCAGGCGACGAAGAGACGAAGGTGCGAGACCACCACTCGAATCATCGTAAGTTTTATAATTGGAAGCTGGATAAATTTCATAATAAGTCGTGGTATTTTTTACAGAAATAAACGATGATAAAATTTAACAGTAATGCAGCCACAAGCGTCACGAATATTTAATAATCGGTTTCATTATGTTTAATTAATTCTAGCATATCTACATTGCTCTTAGTATGTATTTTAATTCACAGCAGTGCTTAAATAAAACGCCCAAAACATTAATAATAAATCATAATAACCATGCTGAGTTGTAATAAATAACTAAGGAAATAATCCAAACACATTTAATTAACCAGCCATTAGCCACAATTAAAAACTATGTACTATAAATAAGGAAGCTGGATGTGTTTTCTTTGCAGCTCTCTCGTATTTTAAATTATTTACATTATATCTTATTTATAATATACTAAGTTCATTAAATTGGTTTACACGAAACTAACTTGCAATTCACCTATAGATAATCTGTTGATTTCGTGAGTTTGGCCATAGCCAACAGTAGTAATCGTGGCTGAAACTTGACTTACTTGATAACAAGAGGCGATTTTTTGATATACTTCCATTTCCTATAAATTTAAGAAGATTCTTGTTACAGATGAAGGATGTTGAACGCCATTCACGAAATCTTCAAGCTAATATATCCTGTAAAATAATATTACATAATATTATATAATATTATTTAATATTATATAATATTATATAATATTATCTTCAAGATGATATTCAGACTTATTAAAAATAATTTGAATATATTTTTATCACGTATGTTAATTTTAATCAACACCACAGTCCGCGGTGGTGACGATAGGGTTCAACTGGAAGACGAGTTAAATGCTAATCTTATCTGGATGACCCAGATAAAAGCAAAAAGTGCATTGTTATTTAGGATTAATTCTTACACATTTTTCTGGGTGTATCAGCCTCAGGTGCGAGGCTCAGGCGCCTCACTCGGTCGTCAGCCTCGCAGGCTAGTGAGGCTGGAGTGAGGCTGGCAGACGAATGCATAACTTACAACGTGACTGATGGAGAAATAATGCTGCTGGTGGCCAACCTGCAGCCTTACAGGTGCGTACACCTGCAGCCTTACAGGTGCGTACACCTGCAGCCTTACAGGTGCGTACACCTGCAGCCTTACAGGTGCGTACACCTGCAACCTGCAGCCTTACAGGTGCGTACACCTGCTGCCTGCTGCCTTACAGGTGCGTGCACGTGCAGCCTTACAGGTGCGTGCACCTGCTGCCTTACAGGTGCGTACACCTGCTGCCTTACAGGTGCGTACACCTGCTGCCTTACAGGTGCGTACACCTGCGGCCTGCTGCCTTACAGGTGCGTACACCTGCTGCCTTACAGGTGCGTACACCTGCTGCCTTACAGGTGCGTTACAGGTGCGTTCACCTGCAGCCCTACAGGTGCGTTCACCTGCTGCCTTACAGGTGCGTTCACCTGCAGCCCTACAGGTGCGTTCACCTGCAGCCTTACAGGTGCGTACACCTGCAGCCTTACAGGTGCGTACACCTGCTGCCTTACAGGTGCGTACACCTGCAGCCTTACAGGTGCCTACACCTGCTGCCTTACAGGTGCGTTCACCTGCAGCCCTACAGGTGCGTTCACCTAGCCGTCAACTACGATTAGTGATACAAGAGTAGAACTTGGAGGATAAATGGTACAATAATACTAAAATAATCATTTTTTTCGAATTTCGCTAACTTTTTCCTTATTTACGTTTTCCTCTTATATCACCTCCTTCTTTTTTCTTTACTTTTTCACAATTTCCATTTTCAACATTTTCCCAAATTCCGCTATCCTGTACTTCTACTATTTACATATATCACATTTTCCGTCACCTACATTTTTTAATCCCTTCAACTCTCCAAATTTTCTCTTTCAACCGCCCCACGCCCACTAATCAGAAAAATATACACATATTATCCACATAGTGACACACTTTCTTACATGCAACATGAGTAGATGAAACACTGATACATAATATTGCCGCGATAAATTGGACACAGATTTACCCACAAAAGGGCGAAAAGTGCATCGCTGTTTAGACAAAGACTCACTAATTTCTTTGAGTGCAGGGTGGCGTGCGAGCAGCGGTTCGTGTCGGGGGCGGAGGGGGGGCTCGTGGCACTGGAGTGCCAGACGCTGGCACTCAGAGTGTCATGTGCCTTCGAGAGCCTGCGTGTCACAACCGCAGACACCGACAACACCTACTGCAGGTATGGTGGTGGTGGTGGTGGTGATAACACTTATCTCGAAGGCCCTGGTGATATAGCTATGGTGTTTGAAGCTGGTATTTCTGCGGATTTTGCACATGGTGCAGATGGTGCTGCTGTTGTAAATTGATTAATAGACTGCTGATGCAGGTACTACCCGCTACCTGCTGCTGAAGGTAGTGCTCTGACATCTGGATATGGAGGTGGCCCCGTAAAGGGTATAAACAACTTTTGACCTATTATTTTTCACCACATTTGTGATGAACATTTACTTTCATGTTCACCCCGAATTGCCGGACCTCTTTCTTACAGGGACGACAAGATGATGGCAGTGAACGGTCCAGAAGTGAACGTGACGTTCACGCGAAGCGTTAGCGGCGTTAACGGTGGCTACGTTTGCTTCGTAACATCCAACGTCACACAATACGAGTGTCCAACTTGTGGTCAAATCGACGTCTCCCAGACCGCTAAGCTAACAAATAATATCAACGCTTCCATAGTGGAGGTTGAATCAGGAGTACAGGCAACAACTATCGCTTCCGGACCGTTGGACTCGAAAATATTTCAAGATACATCGTTTCCCACTGGAACTTTTGAAAATAACATCGATATTGCAAATTTTTCTATCGAGTCTCTAAATGATAGCTCACATGCCTTTGATTTTTCTATTATGGATAAACCTAACGTAAACAGACCCGCCATGTACTCCAAATACTTAAACCTCTTATCAAAATCAAAGAAAAATGAATCAAGAAGCCGAAGAAGTAAAACTAAATTCAAAAGGACAACGAACAATTTTCCGAATATGTACAATGAAGACGCTGTTGAACATGCCGACGATTCAGAAATATTGCAGTCTATCACAAAAGAGCAGAAATTTTCTTCCACAGCTCGACGATCGATTGAAGAAAATTCAAGAATTGTTGGGGGAACTTTGGCAATCCGGGTAACTATCGGCAAACGTGTTGATAAACTCTTACCTTGATATAAACAATTCAGATCCCGGTTTTGCAAACAGAAATCACTGTATATTTTGTCTATATATTAAAATTATTGGAGTTATGAATATTATAATAATCGAATATTTATTAGCTTCGGAAATGAATTGTATTGACTTTATTTCCAAGTCATTGCAAACATAAACATGGCCGTTTCCCCCTGCGGCCTGCTCCACACAAGATTCAAATTCAAGAGTTACCACTTCATTACCCATCTGTGCAAATAAATGGTGTATTTTTTACACTTATTTGTACACAGGAACAGCACCCGTGGACTGTGTACGTGCGAGTGTACACAAACAGTACTGTTTACGCGTGTGGGGGCACTCTCATCACACAGAACCTTGTGCTGTCTGCAGCACATTGCCTGCATGGCATCAGAGTAACCAAAGTCAGGGTGAGGCTCTATAGTCTACATCAACACACTTCTAATTATCGTTAGTTAGCCGGGAAGATAATAATCATGATGTACGGATGTTCGTCTTCGCTTCAATAATAATCAAGATTAACCCCCTCCAAGTATGAACGCGTTCAAGAACAGACTAACATAACATAACATAACATAGTGATGTCGGCTCTGAAGTGTAGGCCTGATGTGGCCTGTCTATAAAGATATATATAGATAAAGCTATGGAAAAATATATGTTCAGATTTGAAATGCCTAGCTCCTTATCGAACCCGGTGGAAGTCTAGTAGCTTCTTCAAACTATCGTCAGTCATGAAAAGATCCGGTCAAAAGACACGAGTTTAGATCTATGAACAAGGCACGAAATGGAAAAGAATCGGCGACAGGCCACATCAGGCCTACACTTCAGCGCCGACATCACTATGTTATGTTATGTTATGTTAAGATTAACGGATTTCTCGTACCACAGTCTACACCAACACACTTCTAATTATCTGTAGTTTACCGGAAAGATAATAATCACGATGTGCGGGTGTTTCTTTCCGCCAATAATAATGACTATTAACGGATTTCTCACACCACCAATAGTAATCACGATATACTGGTACATAATTCAACTAAAATAATCACGATTAACGGGGTTCTTCTATAGATTATAATTCATGTTTTCTCGTCCAAAGTGGATGAATAATTATAAATAATACATAGAATTCATCCTCCCTTGTCTGCAGAAAACCTCAACACATATTTGCCCCATTATTATTCAAAATATATGTTATTTTAAAGCACCAGTAATATTACAATTTTTCCTAGTTTATTCATTCCGCCATTATTTGTCTATAAAAATTATTGTAGTTTGTAAGGGGAGCTTACCAACTATCGCTTTCTAATTAATATCAAATTATCATAGATTTTTACTATTATTAACAATAGTATTAATACGTTAAATATTATAACAATCAATTAGAATTTTCACGTGTCATTGTCACGTGACCAGGTCTGGCTCGGTCTGCTAGACCGGACAAAGCCCGAGCCGGGCTCGTTGTACCAAGACTCGTACACGTATCACGTACACGAGAGTTACGATCCTACGACATTTGTTAACGACATCAGCGTCGTGGTGCTGCCGTCCAGTGTCGTATTTACGACAAGGATACAACCGGCTTGCCTGCCGCCCGCTGACCGACAACTCGATGATGTAACAGTCGTAGGTGGGTTGGGGGTGGGTTTGTGTGGGTTTGGGTTGGTTGTGGGTTATGGGTTGGATGGGAAAATAGTAGGTGAATTGTAGATTAACATTGTATTATAGGATAAGAATAGATGTTATAGGTGGGCTGTGGGTGGGTCGTGGTTGAGCGTTAGCTTGGTTGCGGGTCGGTTAATGGATGAATTGGGTTAGTGGTTGGGGGGTTGAGAATGAGTTTTTGGCGGCTTGGAGGTTGGTATGTGTCGTTTGTAGGTTGAAAATTAGTCCCATGTGCTCATAAGTAAATCGTTTGGGGTTGTAATTAAAGTGAGAGTAGTTTGATTGTAGGCAGGTGAAGGTCGGTGGTTAATGGGTTGTAAGTATATTTAGTAATACTGTATCGATAGTTTTGAATGTTTGTTCACATTGGCTGTTAAGGAAGAGAAAGGTAGAGCGAGAAACAAGAATACCGCCACGTCTGGCTGCCAATTCCACCCCTAACTCCTGGTTAGAGTAATTACATTGCAAACTAACCGTCTAGCAAATATAATCTTAATTCAAATAACTGTATAACTTATTTCAAAATATATTTAATATTTCCCACAGCAACGGGGTGGGGGTTAACGTCATGGGGGGCACGCTGTCCCCCACCCTGTAACTTCTTTAAACATATATTTAATATTTCCCACAGCAACGGGGTGGGGGTTGACGCCATGGGGGGGGGCACGCTGTCCCCCAGCCTGTAACTTCTTTCAATATATATTTAATATTTCCCACAGCAACGGGGTGGGGGTTAACGTCATGGGGGGCACGCTGTCCCCCACCCTGTAACTTCTTTAAACATATATTTAATATTTCCCACAGCAACGGGGTGGGGGTTGACGCCATGGGGGGGGGTACGCTGTCCCCCAGCCTGTAACTTCTTTCTATATATATTTAATATTTCCCACAGCAACGGGGTGGGGGTTAACATCATGGGGGGGTACGCTGTCCCCCACCATGCAGCAGGTCGCCCTGCAGGTCTGGACCAACGCAGCCTGCACGGCGGCCTGGCAGGACCACTTCAACGACTTCTCCTTCAGCGTCTCCTACGGCCAGCTCTGTGCCCTCGGCAGCGGCGCCGACACCTGTAGCGGGGACTCGGGGGGTCCCTTGGTCCTTAATGTGAGTCATGGAGGTCCTATGGTCCTTAATGTGAGTCAAGAAAGCCCTTTGGCCCTTGATGTGAGTCAAGGAGGTCCTTTGGTCCTTAATGTGAGTCAAGGAGGTCCTTTGGTCCTTAATGTGAGTCAAGGAGGTCCTTTGGTCCTTAATGCGAGTCAAGGAGGTCCTTTGGTCCTTAATGTGAGTCGAAGAGGTCCTTATTGTGAGTCAAGGAGGCCCTTAGGTGCTTATAATGTGAGTCAAAGGGGCCCTTTGCTCCTTAGCGTGAGTCAAGGATAAGGCGTCTTGAATGTAAGTCAAGGAGATTTATTAAGCCTGGAGTTTCACGGGTGAATTTCACTCGAATTTCACACCACAAAATTAGTGTGACGTCTTGATCGTGATTGAAGGATCATGGAAGTGAGGCAGACCTCAAGTGAGATAAATGTAAGTCAGAAAACACAAGTGTGAGTCATGGTAATTTTAAAGATGAGTAAAGGGACTATTGTTCAGAACGTTTCTATGAGTTTGACTCATGTTTGGTGAATGAGAAAAACAGCGGTCGGGGAAATGAGCGGGTCATTGTCCAAATATCGATGCACGATTTAATTTGTGTGGGTCAATCTTACCGAAAAAAACGGCGTATGTCTTATATTTTCGCACTTTTCATGCTGTGAGCATGAAACTGTTTCATTATATGGACAATTAATGTTAATTCAATAATTTCTTTAATTTTTCTGAATGTTAATTCAATATAATTTTAAAGTTTCACTCTTCTGTCACAGGTGAGCGGCCGACATGAAGTCGTGGGAATAACTTCCTTTGGGTACGAGTGTGCCACACCAGACGTACCTGGCGTGTACACGAGGGTACAGAGCTACGTACCCTGGGTACAGCAGTACATCGTACCCGGGGCATGTGCTGTCTGAGCCCTCACGTTCAAGAGGGTATAATACCCTCAACGGCTCCACCCCTCTCCCTACCCTCTCCCTGCCCTCTCCCTGCCTTCTCCCTGCCCTCTCCCTGCCCTCTCCCTGCCCTCTCCCTGCCCTCTCCCTGCCCTCTCCCTGCCCTCTCCCTGCCCTCTCCCTGCCCTCTCCCTGCCCTCTCCCTGCCCTCTCCCTGCCCTCTCCCTGCCCTCTCCCTGCCCTCTCCCTGCCCCGCAGTCCTATAGAGCTGCAAGTGTCGTGGTCCCCTCATCACAGTTGCTACCCTCAGTCCCTCAAGGATGCCCTCTTCAGCCTCCGATTGACGAAGAGGAGATCGGGACTCCCCTCTTCAGCTCACTCAAACTCCCCTCTTCAAATCATTTAATCTTCCCTCTTCAACTCATTCGTACTCTCCTGTTCAGCTTATTTATACTCCCCTCTTTAACTTATTCATACTCCCCTCTTCAACTTATTCGTACTCCCCTCTTTAACTTATTCATACTCCCCTCTTCAACTTATTTGTACTCCCCTCTTCAACCTATTCATACTCCACTCTTTAACTCATGTAAACTACGCACTTCAACTCAGTCGAACTTCCCCTTCAACTCATTCAAACTCTACTCTCCAACTCATTGCACCTTCCCTTTTCAAATCATGAAGAGGGAACCCAACTCATTCAAGCACCCTTTTTCGACCCATTTAAGCTCCTCTCTTTAGCTCATTCAAGGTTTGACGATTGATCAATTTATCTCTTTGTTTCAATATTTTTTTTCGCTACTTGCATATCTTCTGCATGCAGGTAAAGCATTCTAATTAAGAAGCAATAACAGCTCCCAAGCATGCAAGCGTTCCTGAAAAGTTCAGTCATTTAATTTCCTCGAGCTGTTTAATCGATGCCCCGAGGGCAGTGACCTTCCCTCTGGTGACCTGGAAACCAGTGGTAAGTTCTGCCACTAACCACTAGTGCGCTGAAACTAGTAATGTGATACTGACCACTACTTCATACGCTGAAACTAGTGGCGTGCTACTGACCACTACTTCATACACTGGAACTAGTGGCGTGCTACTGACCACTACTTCATACGCTGGAACTAGTGGCGTGCTACTGACCACTACTTCATACGCTGTTGACCACTACTTCATACACTGGAACTAGTTGCGTGCTACTGACCACTACTTCATACGCTGAAACTAGTGGCGTGCTACTGACCACTACTTCATACGCTGGAACTAGTGACGTGCTACTGACCACTACTCCATACACTGAAACTAGTGGCGTGCTACTGACCACTTTTTCATATACTGTAACTGGCGGTTATACATAGGAATGAAGGTTATACATAGATAACGATTAACAAACTTACATTTTTCATTATGTATTCACGTAATGTTAACTTGCTTTGCAGTGATCACCGGCCGTTTAAACATGTTTTTGCATGACACAATCTTCATCAAGTTAACTATTAACCCCAATTAAAATATTGATAATAAGTTCATGATATTTTCAAGTTAAAATAAATAAAAAAATACGTTAATGGCGTTATCAAGTTAAGTATTAACACATTTACTTTATAAGTTACCTATTAACTCGACTATTAACACTAATTATTAATAAGTTCATGATATTTCCAAATCGTAGACAAAAAAGCTATAATAATTGTACACTGGCAAAGGGAATGTAACAAACTACAATGTCTAAAAATTGCTATTTGTTTAATTATTATATATCAATTTATTTATTACTAATAACTATATTATAAATAGAATATTCATGTGTTGCACCCAAGTGACCTAAATGCAAAATGCTAGAACTTAGCGAACGTCTTGGTGGACCTTATATGTGGCACTGCACTGGCCACTGCGTTCAGTGGCCTTCTGGAGGCCGACGTGTGCGGTTGTGTGTGTGTGACGCGTCCTGCAATGCTAGTCTTGGCGCCGTGACCTATATCCTATCCTTCCTATAAGATAACGAATGCATATGAGCAAGGCACACTTGCAAACTAAGAGTGTGCGAAGAAATTTTCATTAAAAATGCTGCTTATTAAAATATCATATGAAGCTAGGTAATTTAAATGACAAAAATGTAAATTATGTTCGTTTTTAGTGAATCTTAGCCCCAGTTTACGTAGGAATGGCACCAGCTACTCGAAGGCCTTTTGCGAATAATCGTGCAAGTGGTTAACTTAATACATAAACATCAGCACTCGTTACTCGTGAGTAATCCACCCATTGTTTCCTTTCATTCTTCCATAAAAGACCCAAATTATTCAATTGGTGCATTCACTTCTTTTGGTGAATTTACATGAACTTTTGCATATGTAAAAATTAAGAACATTGTTCTTGGTTTATAAGGAAAATCAAGAAGAGATTAAGAACATTAATGCTCATGGGCATGTAAATGGTGGTTAGAGCGCTGTTAGCGATAGTGACACGTGATACTAGTGCCACATGACACTAGTGGCATGCAACACTAGTGCCACACGACACAGTGCCACTCAACACTGTGCCACGAGGCACTGTGCAGTGGATGACGATCCACTGTGCAGTGGATCGTTACTGTGCATCCACTGTACAGTGGATGACACTGTGCAGGCACTATTAATGTTAATAGTGCCTCGAGGCACTATTAACATTAAATTAGTTCCACGCGACACAAGTGCAGTCAAAGCCAATAAGAATAATTTAATTTATCCACGGAAAAGTTTAAACCCCAAGCAGACTTTTTCCCTGTGAAGTAGATAGAGTATAATGGTACATTACAGGTCGGAATAATTTTATATCCTATGTAGGGTAAAATATATGAGTGAAGTATTATTATCAGTTTATAATATCAATAGTTATTATTTTTATTTAATAATGATTTATATCATGTTTTGTGTAATTATCAAACTACATCATGAATTATACGGCTTCTGGTATAATCGAATATTTACCTATCATATTTCCTTGAAAATAAAGTATCAGTCATTCGCAGGCATGTTTTGCTGAAACGCTCGCCGAATTATAATGCTATTCCTACCTGAATGGTGAGTGAACCGTTCACCTCACAAGCCGACATAAGCGTCCCCGTAATGTTATTCCTACCTGAATTGTAAGTTAATCGTTAATTTAAATTTGCTGTGCATTGCTTGTTATAGAGCCCGAATGTTTTCGCTGTTTGTTGCCATGTTTGTTGTCGTGTTTGTTGCCGTGTTTGTTGCGTGTTTGTTACCGTGTTTGTTGCCGTGTTTGTTGCCATGTTTGTTGCCGTGTTTGTTGCCGTGTTTGTTATTGTGTTTTTTGCCATGTTTGTTGCCGCGTTTGTTGTCGTGTTTGTTGCCGTGCTTGTTGCCGTGTTTGTTACAGTGTTTGTTGCCATGTTTGTTGCCGTGTTTGTTGCCGTGTTTGTTGTCGTGTTTGTTGCCGTGTTTGTTACCGTGTTTGTTGCCGTGTTTTTTGCCGTGTTTGTTGTCGTGTTTGTTGCCGTGTTTGTTGTCTTGTTTCTTGTCGTGTTTGTTGTCGTGTTTCTTGTCGTGTTTGTTGTCGTGTTTGTTGTCGTGTTTGTTGCCGCGTTTGTCATCAGGGTGCTTCGAAAATAATTTATTATTATTATTATTATCATCAATATTATTATTACTGACCAAATATAATAATTGTTTTACTAATAATGAGTTTCATTATCCCTGTGCATATTATCCATTATTCAATTTCTCCTCATCATCAATATATAAATTTCGCAATATTTTCCTGCTTATCTTGTGTTTATGTGGTTGTATGGCTGTGTTGTGTTGTGGTTGGGTGGTTTTATGGCTGTGTTGTGTTGTGGTTGCGTGGATGCGTGGTTGTATAGTTGCATGTTTCTGGGGTTGTGTAGTTTTGTGCTTGCGCGGTTGTGTGGTTGTATAGTTGCATGTTTCTGGGGTTGTGTAGTTTTGTGCTTGCGTGGTTGTGTGGTTGTATAGTTGCATGTTTCTGGGGTTGTGTAGTTTTGTGCTTGTGTGGTTGTGTGGTTGTATAGTTGCATAGTTGTATGTTTCTGGGGTTGCGTGGTTGTGTAGTTTTGTGCTTGCGTGGTTGTGTGGTTGTATAGTTGTATGGTTCTGGGGTTTGCGTGGTTGTATAGTTGTATGGTTCTGGGGTTTGCGTGGTTGTGTGGTTGCGTGGTTGTATAGTTGTATGGTTCTGGGGTTTGCGTGGTTGTATAGTTGTATGGTTCTGGGGTTTGCGTGGTTGAGTGGTTGTATAGTTGTATGGTTTTGTGGTTGCATGGTTGTGTGGTTGTATAGTTGTATAGTTTTGTGCTTGCGTGGTTGTGTGGTTGTATAGTTGTATGGATGTGGTTCAACAACATTATTGCTGCTTGAAGCATCTTGTATATAACCAACATGCATATAAGATAGACATTTTTCCAGACGCTATATAAGGTTATTCATATATTAAGATTCATTTACACGCTGAGATGAATTTATGTATGCAAGCACTCAATAATTTTCTAACAATAAAAATTACACATTTTTTAATTCATTTATTCAAGCATTGTTCTTCTCATTAGCTGTACAGAATTATTCTTGTTTGTATTCAGTCACTCGTGACTCGTTTGTAAAGCAGTCACTTATTTCTAATTGTCAAGCATCAGGTAGGAATAGCACTATGAGTTGCTCGTCAGGCAGGAATATCACTAGGAATAGCACGTTAGGTAGGAATAGCACTAGGAATAGCACTAGGAATAGCACTAGGAATAGCACTAGGAATAGCACGTTAGGGAGGAATAGCACTAGGAATAGCACTAGGAATAGCACGTTAGTGACTGCACAGACTGCACAGACTGCACAGACTGCACAGACTGCACAGACTGCACAGACTGCACAGACTGCACAGACTGCACAGACTGCACAGACTGAATTGAATTCCTGAATTATTTTTTACAAAAAAATTCCACGCGGCATTCATATTAAATTCAGGCATTCATGTTTATAAAGGCATTTAAGTGCCTTGCAGTCATTTATTTTAATTAAAGGCAA